ACTAACGATTCTCCTGCAAATTTTAAATACTTTTCACTACCATCTCGGGAAAATTTCCAATGATATCGCTGCAGTTTTTAAGAATTGCAACAATATTAAAATTTCTTTTAAAAATGTTAATTCGATTAAAAGCCAACTATCGCATACTAAGGATGAAATCGAGTTGCTACACAAAAGTGGCATTTATAGATTAAGCTGTAACGATTGCAATACATCTTACATAGGGAAAACCGAGAGAAGACTCAACATACGAGCTGGTGAAAATATTAGATATCCAGATAAGTCTACTTTTGGACATCATATTAAATTTCATAATCACAATTTCACTCCTTCTGAGAATGTCACTGTTCTTCATAATATTTTTAATTGTAACTTTAAATTAAATTTGCTCGAAGATCTTGAGATACACAGAGAGTTTAACAAAACTAATGTCACATGTGTTAAAACTCAAATCCATCTCAATAGCAAAGTACCTTCTCTCTTTAAGAGTATTGGCAACGGTTGATCTGAAGTTACCTAGCCAGCTTCGCCATGAATTTTCTTACAGCGGAGTTGATCTTGTCTTCTCCGGTGATATCTGATTTCGTGGTCAGGACGGTTTTTCCTCCTCTTATAGCTGGAAAAGTTGGTCTGCCTGCGACTTCGGTTTCGCTGGGGTCGGCATGCTCAATTTTGTTGTTTTTAGTCAGGCACCTTTTAATTCCAATAATTTTATATAAAAAATGTGTTTTTACCTTCATTCACTGTATATTTTATAATTCTATTCAATCATTGTAATGTTTCGATGTTTAAAATTTAAAAGTCCCTCCATAACTTGTGCTTGCTAGTTCAGTGGTACCAACTATCATTTTCAATATTAACTTTTGATCATTTTTCATGAAATTCATTTCTATTTCTTAAGTTGGCAATTGTCTTGACAACTTCACTGTCAACTTTCAATTGCCACTCAGTTCTTTTTTGGCACTGTCAAGATGGTTACTTTTTCCAAAATTTCGCTTACGTATTACGATTTCTTGTGCCCCAACTTGCCTCCGTCTCTCGGCAGCGACTTGGAAGGGTCAGCTGGGTTCATGTTGAAGTACAGTTTTTCCTCTTTCTCTACCTTTGAATGGTTGAGATTGTGCATTTCTACTTGTTGGGATGAGCCCCCACGTGTTTTATTAAATTGCAACCACCTGTTAGGAGTGGTTCTTTTATTTCTTACGATTCAAGCCTTAAGTTATGGTGGAGAACAGGAACCGTATTGTTGCAGTCCTTTTTAATCTAGTTAAATATAAATTTTCATGCTTCTTCTACATTTATTGACGAGTAAGTGTTCAAGATTTTTTATTTAATGTTCAGTAATATCACGATTTGATTATAATGTTACATCTATGTTTTATTCTCTCTCTCTTGTAGAGTCTCTGATGATGGCCTAACATGCCGAAAGCGCTTAGACTAATATTACTGAGTTTTATTAATAAAACTCTATCTACACACTTTAAATACTTTTGATTCATTTTTTATTACCCAGTGTGTACACACCACTCAACCTCTTTAAATATTTAATAACTTGTTAAACCCTAATCTCTCATTATAGGTGTAGTACGGGTTGCATTCTGTTTTAAATAAATACATAACAGCGCCATGAGCTGGCAACGTCTCCTCCTATTAGTCCAAGAGCCCACTGCAAATTTCGACCGTCATCTGATAACGAAATGAAATATGCTTCAGAGGCATGTACAAATATTGTACTTTACCAAACGGTACCTGTGCTATCACTATCCTGAGCAAAATAGTTAAAACAATGGCACTTCCGGTGTCATAATTAGCGAGAAATGTCGTCATTTGATAACGAGATAAGACTTATGCCATCGGATAGCTATTGATTAATAGAACTTAAAAATGTACCTGTGCCACCTCTTTTCCTGAGCCAAATGTTTGGCACGGCCTATTTATTCACCCAAAATTATCGACAAACTTCCGTCATGTGATAACGAGTTAAGACAATATGCATTCGAATGGGCATAATGTCTTATTCAGGAATATCCGCATGTGCCACGTTTTAACCTGAGCTAAGTTGCTGGCACAGCGTAATTTCTGAGACGCGCCTCTCTCAACTAATTTATTTTATATATACAAAAAATCACATAAGCCATGACAACGAAAATTATTTGTATTGAAAATTACAATCCTAATTAATTTTGAACTATTAGTGAATTCTCGATTTGTATTCCAATTTTATATACTTTTTACAGACTTAAAAATAAGAAGAAGGTTCTCAAATCGTCGGAATGTAATTTTTTATGTAAGTTCAACGATAGTTCTTTCTATACCACGTTGTTTGATTTCCATGATTCTTTTTTTGTTAGAAAAGGGGACACCGGGTTAGTCATATATAAATTTGGTCAACATCTGATTATAGGATACACGAAAAATAATTAAATTCTTCGAATAACAAAGAAAGGTTTTTAAAATTACTTTTAGTAATATACAGGTTTATTATTTAACAGAATATATTTTCAGGTATTTATTTAGATATATTTTATTACTTTTTATATTTATAAAAAAGTGTAACTACAAATTAAAAATAGAATTCAATATGACGATGATAAATAAAGTTATATTCGGAAGTTTCCCAGAAAATGTATTAAAGGTATACTTACTAAGGATTGTTGAATTATTTATTTTTAAGTACATCCATAAAAAAAATTAAATAAATATGCATACACAAACAATTTATCAATATTAAATACATTATTATTAAAAAAAAAATCCACAAAAAAAATTACATCTAATCCTTTCCAACAATTTTAACATTTACTCATCATCTGAATCTGAAAAAACTCATTCAACTCGTCGTTATCGACAATATTTTTAATATATTTTAAGACACCATCGACTTTCAATGGCGGCAAAGTCATTTCGTCAATTACCAATGCTTCTCCATTATCAAAAACAGAGCTGACAATTCATAATGCATACCGGGAATTAATAGTCTAGGTGTAGATAAAGTTAAAAAGCAATTATTTAAGTGCAATGTGTTAACTCATGCTCTATCGTCTGAATATTCCAAAATAACGAATAATTCTGAAAAATTAACTTTTAAAAAGCAAGAGGATGGAGAAGTTAAGGTTATGTTTTTAAAACACATAGCCGATAATGGTACGAAATTCATATCGGATGAAGATGATGTATCTTACATTTCAAACGAATAAATCTTGGAAATTCTTGAAAAACCTACAATAAAATTAAACAGCGATCAAATTTATTATGAGTTTAAAAGACCCATCGATGTTTTTGAAATCTAGTTCAACTATTTTAATGTTATCTAGATCTCTGTTATCTTCTAGATACTATTTAGTTTTTAGTTTGTTCCTATTTTTTTACGATTGTTTATTTATATCAAAGTTTTTTAAGTTGAATTACCATTAGAGTATTTTGTAAACTTACTGAGTTTTTTTACATTTTGATAATTTTAGAAAAAAAGTTCTTTGTGTGTTTTGCTTATTATTTTTCCTATTTATTACCTTCCTGTTCACTGTATTACAAACAGTCCATTGAGTTACTTTATTTAATAATGTCTAAAATAAAATTAATTAACTAGAAGTAATAAAACGCACTTCAATATCTCTAATAGCATTAAGAATAATGTCCTAAAATTATTATATGTAAAATATTTACACTAATGGTTCCATTTTAAACAAATATAGACTTTATTTTTGAGAAAAAGTAATAAAGTGGACATAAAAGTTGAAAAAAATAAAAAAAAGGTATCTGTCACTAAACCATTTTATTACTTTTAATCAGCATGGATTATCGGTGTCTTGGTCAAAACTTAAAATATGTACTATTTGTCTTAGACCGGGTAGATATTTTTGACGAGTTTCATAAAAGCAGGATTTATTTTTGTACGCATTGACAAAAAAATTCCAAAAAACTCATTTAAAAATCAAAAAGTGCGCTGCTAATAATAGCTTCCTTGATTTAAATATATTAGAATAATATTTTAATAATCAAAACATTCATAATATGAAATAATAAAAATCGGTATCGATTTTACCTAAAGAGGTGGTTTTCTGAAAATGACCCATTAAGTATTGAAGCAAGCACACGACCATTCATTTACAAAACACCCATTACTATTTATTGATGCACATCATTTTTTCTTCCAGTTTGAATGTGAAACGCCAATTGAAGGGCTCGGTGCAAAAACCGGTCAAGTCCACTTTTGTAAAATATTCAGAAATTGACAAAAACTTTATCAGAAGAAGAAACACATGATTTAGTTTTAGGAGTCTTAGTTTTTAGATAGAAGAGGTCAGCAGCTAATATTTATTTAAGAAAATAAGGTGTTTTTTGAAAAAGGTGTTTCATGAAAAAAAACAAGATGGTGGAGATGTCCGTTTCTTGCACAGAAAAAAAAATAAAAAAAAAAAACATTATTTAATTCAAAAGACAACCTGTTTATTAAAAGAAATACTATAATGTATGAATATATGACAACATTTTTATCAAAAAACAAACAATGTAAGTGAGAAAACGTCAAAACATATTTGGTAAAAATTGCGAAAGCCTACTTAAAATATTTTAAAATATTTCTGTTTCAACTTCTTGATCGCTGTCGTCAGTGTTTCCTTGATTTGATTGCTGCGTACTATTAGCACTTCGTACTTGCTCATAATACCACATATGTACAGGTGGTACATATTTATCAGCAAGGGACATCACATTCTCTACTTTTTTAGGATTAATGCTCAAAGGAAAAGACTCGTAAAGTTTAGTTTTTGGCAATGCTAATACGGTATTGGGTTTTTTGATAGCAAATGACGAAAAAACTGCGAAACCAGCTGTCTCACTACACTCGATGACATTCTTCTTTTCGTATCTAAATAAACGGTATTTGGAAATACGAAATTTTTCATTTAACCGATTGCTTATTGTCTTTCTAAAGATTGGTTTGAATGTACCTGTAAAATTAAGAATCATATCTTGTTTCACTTCGATTACACGGAATTTTTTTAGGTCTTCTTAACTAAATTTATCCAATCATATGCCAAGTAAACAATCTCTTTCTTCCTCTTTTCCTTTTCAATAAGACCGAAGCAACGGTCGAACGGTAGAAAACTGTGACCCGGTTCTGGAAACTGATGGATAATCTGGCGAATACGTGAACCCGAAATGTTCATGAAAGTATGCAAATATTGAATTAAAGTATGGTTTTTATTTTGTGCAAAACAGTTGTTCGAAAATAAGTAAAGCGTGGTTACATCTTCAGAAACATAATTAGTTATGTAATGATGTAAAAAACTGACGACTTCATTGCATCCTTTTTTCGCCGTCATTTCATCATACATGTAGAAAGTAGCTAGTTTTGTTATAGAGGAATGAATACAGAAGTTGTACTCCCACAACTGTCGTTTGTAAAATACGTCACCCGATGGAATATGGGGCAGAGGTAGATTCTGCTGATAGTCAAAACATAAAACATCGACTCCTCCACCTTTCGCAAGTTCTGTAGCTTCTTTCAACTTTTTGTAAAACACTTCTGCTTTTTGTATGTGCAAACGTTTGTCACCCTCCAGAATAACTTTTCTTTCTGCATCGTTTTCTGCAGCTATTATGTTAGTAAGATGGTCGCACTTCTGACAGGTATCAGATCTGGGGTGGCCAAAACTAAGGTTGTGATTAAGATTAAATTGCCGATTGTAGAAGTCGTATCTAACTTTCGGATTTATATCTTTGTATTATTTACCATCTTCCAGTAGCTGATGTTGTGCTAACTCAAATTTTTCGAGGTAAAGTCTATACATTTTAAATATATTCATTTCTGAAGACAAAAAATATTTTTTCTGATTATCGTGTCTGCTGTAGTGCGACTTTCTTCTCGGAAAACTTGCAATATGTTCATTTATTTGGTTAACTATTTCCTCGGGGATTCTATTTGACCTATTTGAATGTTGTTCACGTTTATCTGATGGGGACATGATGTGACCTTCAGCTAAACTTTTAGCTACTCTTGAAACTTGATGCTTTGTGATCTCATGTTACGAACAAAAAGCCTCTTTACATATTTTAGTTTCTTGAGCTCCGACACGTATCTAAAAAGAGATGCTTTATGTTACAAAAAAATAAAAAGCATTTTTCGCAGTTTATAAAAAATATATTTTTATTGTACGTAAAAGTTATGTTATTGTTACCTTATACTGATAGAAAACAGTTTTTTCTTTTCCTTCGCCTGTTGTTGGTCGCTTACGCTGCACACCCAAAACTGTTATCAGACCACCTAAATATGTGTCTTGTCTATTTTTATCGCCTATATCGTAGAACTGTTTAAGTATACTCTGTTTTTTGGGATCACTTATTTTTGTGAAGCATTTCATTTTACAGTTGCAGTTTGGTCCAGTGGTTTTCTTCGGAACCTTTTGTTTTGCCCAGTTAATGTACTCCTCTCTCTTCGCTTTTTTTCTCTTAATGTTATTTCTTTTCCAAAAACTTGGGTTTTTAACTCTTTTTTTACCTTTTTTAAATTTCAACACATTATCCTGGGCTATGCTCTGTTCATTTGCAGCAGTGTTTTCCTGGGCTATGCCCTGTTCATTTGCAGCAGTGTTTCTACGATTTTGGGTTTTGGCGGGAAACAATCTTTTACGTATCCGGCTAGGACCTGGGATATCAGGATTTGACGGTACATATTCACTACCGGAGTCAACAAATGGTTCTTCTTCACTTGAAATACTTGTATCACTCATTTTGTTTACCAATTTTTTTCACTACGGCAGTACAAAGTCACACGATCGAAACGAACGGCTAGAACGACAAGCATAGACTGGCAAATGAATCTGTATTGTAACTATAAATATATTATCAAAAATCGGTCATCTCCTGGAGGTAGCCGTTTCTTGCCCCGAAATTTCTCAATCAACTTCTCAACGTATATATTTCAGTTACTATAGGTTGGATTTGACTGATTATTGTACCAATAGATGGGTAATTAGCGATTTTATGCATTAAAGCCAAAAACTAAAATTCGGCACAAAATGGAGTTGACCGGTTTTTGCACCGAGCCCTTCAATTGTAACCCCTATCATCACTAGTAGACGTATTTGGCTATTTATAATCCTTAAAAATATTTTATACTTACATCCATTTTGAACATATTATCGAATTCATCCTTGTACTTCTTTTTCAAAACCATAAACTTGGCTTTGCACTCTGGGTGATAACCAACATTTTCCGCTATTTCACGGGATAACTTTACATCTTTGTATTTAAATTTTTTTATTTGACGAAAATGTAACATATTTAAACATTTTTCGAGTACATCATTAAAGGGAAACACTTTTTCCCTTTTACATCGCATAAAAAACATCTATTCATGAATAATAAGAACTATTAACAAAATGAATCAATTACTTTTTGATAATTTCAAGATTTATTTGTTTACTTAATATTGTGATTCATTTTTACAGGTTGTCATAGAAACGTCAAAAAAACTGCATACTATGATTATAGTTTAAAAGACAAAATATAATATTTCAAGTATAAAAATTAATGCTGTACCTATTTAATTCTATTTTACAATAGTTTACTTGCTTAGACGGATAAAAATAGTAATCAAATTTATCTAAATAAATACCTATTAAGTTATTTTAGTAAATAATAAACCTGTATATTGATAATTATTAACATGTTTTAGAAGTAATTTTAAAAACAAACTCCTCGTACCTTTGCAAATTAAAGAGTTTGATAATTTTGTCATGTATCCCATCATCAGACCTTGACCACATTTATAAGTGACCACCACTGAGGTACCCTCTTTCTAACAAAAAAAGAATCATGGAAATCAAACAACGTGGTATAGAAAGAACTATCGTTGAACGTACATAAAAAAATTACATTCCGACGATTTTTAAGTCTGTAAAAAAGTATATAAAATTGGAATACAAATCGAGAATTCACTAATAGTTCAAAATTAATTAGGATTGTAATTTTCAATACAAATAATTTTCGTTGTCATGGCTTATGTGATTTTTTGTATATATGAAATAAATTAGTTGAGAGAGACGCGTCTCAGAAATTACGCTGTGCCAGCAACTTAGCTCAGGTTAAAACGTGGCACATGCGGTTATTCCTGAATGGGACATTATGCCCATTCGAATGCATTTTGTTTTAACTCGTTATCACATGACGGAAATTTGTCGATAATTTTGACTAAATAAATAGGCCGTGCCAAGCATTTGGCTCAGGAAAACAGGTGGCACAGGTACATTTTTAAGTTCTATTAATCAATGGCTATCCGATGGCATAAGTCTTATCTCGTTATCAAATGACGACATTTCTCGCTAACTATGACACCGGAAGTGCCATTGTTTTAACTATTTTGCTCAGGATAGTGATAGGCACAGGTACCGTTTGGTAAAGTACAATATTTTTACATGCCTCTGAAGCATATTTCATTTCGTTATCAGATGACGGTCGAAATTTGCAGTGGGCTCTTCTACTATATTACACGTCTCATAACTTTCACAGATGTATCTTTATTGATTAAAATTTTAAATTTTTTATTTATTGTTTTAAATATTCCAGCCAATTTATGTGAATGTTGAAAGGTACTTTAAATATACAGGGTGTCCCGAAATTAGACGGTCATATTTTAACAGCGTAATATACATCCTAAAATAGAAGTAAAAGTTCATAGGTCCGAAAACGTTTCGTTTTCGAGATACAAGGTGTATATAAGAAAATATTGAAACCACTAGGTAAGTAAATTAATGATAAATAGCGTGCGGTGACATTTTTGGAAGGGGAAGCGATTGTATAAAAATACAGCAGGGGTAGTATTCTCGAGTCACGAATATAGATTCGCATTCGAGATTTATGATTTGTCTCACTTGGTTTTCATTCAACAAAGTCAGACACATTGTAAAACACGTATGCGAATATCGGTATTCGTGATTCGAGAATACTACCCCAGGCCAGTAAGCAAAGCGCCGAAGGCGAAAATTTGTTACGGCGCATTTACCATTTTGTCAAAATCTTGCTTTTTTCCTCAGTACTATGGATATTTGAGATTGAGATTTTTGAAGTGTTACTATTATTTTATTACCTAGTTTATTACTAGAAGCTATAAAAAAACTTATCACTGAAAAGCTTCCTTGATTTATTTAAACGTAAAAAACATTTAACTGAAGATTTTTAAATTTTTTCCAGCATTTTTCACACAGTTGACACAGCAGTTGACATTTATATATACTTAAGATCTATTCGTCTATCCTCAATGGCTGCAAATTTGTCTATAACATCGTCGTAAAATTTTGGATATTCTGATAACTGTTTAACAAGCTGTTTTTCAATGGATATTAGGGCTAAATTGGAGAGTCGTCTTCACTTGATGAATTTCGTATAAAACTTTTAATGCGCTTTAAAGCTGAAAAACTTGTGGCTGGGATGGTTAGTACTAATTCACACAACTTAACGACTTCACAAAGGGACTTATTTAAATCAGTTGTTATAAGAAAATTTAGCAAATTGATGGGCGTCTTTTTATCACTAATTTCAGTTGTTTCATAAACAACACTTAACTGGGACTTTAATGCTGGAATATCGAAAAAAATTCCATAATTTAATTTTAGTGAATTAAAAGCTTTCGATGGAAATTTTAATGAATCGTAGTTACTAATATTAAAATTGCACAATTCAACAAATTTTTATTTATTTTTGAAATCGAGAGTTCATTTGTTGTAAAATATTATCAAAAATTTCTGCGTATAATCGACGATAGGAAGTCTCTCTGTCGCCGACATTTTCAATTCTAATTCTCTTTCTTTCAGGTTCTAAGCCAATGTTTTAAGTCTTATTCCAAAAGTATTCAAACTGATCTCGTTTTTTATTAATTTTATTTTTAAAATCATCAATTTGTTTAATGCAAAAGCCAATGTTATTTGACTTTGTCTGTAAACTGTCGAATAAAATGTAAAAGAGAAAGTCTCTGTAAAAATGTTGAGCAAAAAATTTAAATCAGTTTTGTTTGAGCCAATGCAAATACCCATTAGCGGCAGTAATAGTTTTAGCATCGCATGTTTCTTTATTATCCCAAACATCTTGAATAAAGTGTATCAAAGAATCACGGTATTAAACCACTGTTTGCACTAAACGTCCATTGTAGTTCCATCGCGTCGGAGCAACTTTTGGAAACCTTTTTTGAACGTGAATGTCCAAAGCGCGAGTTCTTTTCGATAACCTTAAAAAGAAGGAAGCCAAACCACTAAGCGTCGAGAAGAAAACATTGCAATCTTTAATATTATCCATGCTTCGCGATAAAACCAAATTAAGTCTATGTGCTATACAGTGAATGAAAATTGCATGTTTAAACTTCTCTTTCACTTTAGCTTGAAGGCGCAAAAATCGTAAGAATCGCTCTTGAGGAATGCCATCCAATACATATCGCACAACAATGGATAATTGACTTAAGTTTGTTACATCTGTGGTTTCATCAAGCGCAATTGATACGAACGGTAATTTTTTAATTTTACTTTTAACGTCGGCAGTGCATTTACTTAAATGTATTCTGTTTGAGGTACCTCGGAAAGTCGTCGAATCAATAAAATGATTTTTTAGGGTATCATCGTATTTTGCTAAAAAACGTAGAAGGTCCATGTAATTTCCTCAATTGGCGAATCCACTTGCTTCATTCTGACCCCTAAAACTTAGTTCATGTTCTCCAAGGAAACAAGTTACATCTATTAATCGTTGTAAGACGTCCATATTTGTTTTACCCTTTAATTGTGAATTTTGTTGCTTATTTTTAAATGACTGTCCAAACTATGTCCAATGCGATAGGTCCTGAATGTTTTTACTTTCCTATCTATGTACAGATATAAGGAAAGTATAGGAATCATGATTTTTTTCGACCTCGAGTTTTCGACGGATTTTTACGTTTTGAGGTCCCATAAATCCGTTTTGACTATTTTCGAGATGATGTCTGTATGTCTGTGTGTCTGTGTGTCTGTGTGTCTGTGTGTCTGTGTGTCTGTGTGTCTGTGTGTCTGTGTGTCTGTGTGTCTGTGTGTCTGTGTGTCTGTGTGTCTGTGTGTCTGTGTGTCTGTGTGTCTGTGTGTCTGTGTGTCTGTGTGTCTGTGTGTCTGTGTGTCTGTGTGTCTGTGTGTCTGTGTGTCTGTGTGTCTGTGTGTCTGGGTGTCTGTGTGTCTGTCTGTGTGTCTGTCTGTGTGTGTGTGTGTGTGTGTGTGTGTGTGTGTGTGTGTGTGTGTGTGTGTGTGTGTGTGTGTGTGTGTGTGTGTGTGTGTGTGTGTGTGTGTGTGTGTGTGTGTGTGTGTGTGTGTGTGTGTGTGTGTGTGTGTGTGTGTGTGTGTGTGTGTGTGTGTGTGTGTGTGTGTGTGTGTGTGTGTGTGTGTGTGTGTGTGCGTGTGTGTGCGTGTCTGTCTGTGTGTCGCATAACTCATGAACCGATACACAGAAAAATACCAAATTTCAAACTTGAGCTTTGTTCCAGCGTCTTATATGCTGATTAGATTTTGGGCAGTGTCGGAACATCTGGGGGGTACTTTAAAGGTGGTAATTTTTATATTTTATAGAATTTTTTAAATAAAAGTTACTTCTTATATTATTATCTAAAATTTTTATTCTACACAAAATTTTCCTAAAATGGTCCGTATTCGAGAAATTTGACAAAATGTAAAAAAATATTTTTTTATAAAAATTGTTCAAACAAAAGTTGTTTGTAATATAATTT